CCCTTGGCAGTTCCATTCCCAAGATTACACTGACATACTTGCAAATGTGCAAAATAAACTACATACAAATATTGTTACTGCATCATTAGTTGTAACAGTACAAATTTGGAACAAAACCAAATGCCCACCAAAAGGCAACAAGTTATATAAGTTTGGTGTACCCTTAAAACAAACATTGTGTTCTGTTTTCACTCAGTCATTAAAAGTGACACAACAGTCACAAAACAGCAAATATTACATGATTCTATTTATATGAAATGTCAAGAATATGCAAATCTGTAGAGACAGTAGTTTAGTGGTTGCCAAAACCTGGGGAGATAGGAAAGAAATAGGGAATGAATGCTAATGGGTTTAGGATTTCTTTAAGAATAATAAAAATGTTCTAAAATTTACTGTGGTGAAGACTGAACAATTCTGTGACTATACTAAAACCACTGAATTGTATACTTTAAATGGGTGAATTGTATGGTATGTGAATTGTATTTCCACAAAGCTTTATTTAAAAAAGTGAAGCAGTTGGCTGGGCACAGTGGCTCATGCCTGTTATCCCAGCACTTTAGGAGGCAGAGGCAGGTTAATCACCTGAGGTCAGGAGTTTGAGACTAGCCTGGCCCAACATGGTGAAACCCAGTCTCTACTAAAAATACAAAAATTAGCCATGTGTGGTGGTTCATGCCTGCAACCCCAGCTACTTGGGAGGCTGAGACAGGAGAATTGCTTGAACCCAGTAGGCAGAGGTTGCAGTAAGCCAAGATTGTTCCACTAAACTCCAGCCTGGGTGACAGAATGAGTATAGGTCTCAAAAAAAAAAAAAACAAAAAGTAAAGCAGCTCTATATGGAATAATATAGAAACATCACCAAGGTAAACTATTCTATGAATAAAGGAAGACACAGAACACTGTGAACTACATGATATAATTTGTGTTTTTGCCATTTTTTTTTTGTTTTTTGTTTTTTTGAGACAGTCTCATACGGTCACCCAGGCAGTCGTCGTTCAGTGGCACAATCTCAGCTCACTGTAATCTCCACCTCCTGGGTTCAAGCAATTCTCCTGCCTCAACCTCCCAAGTAGTTGGGACTACAGGCACGTGCCACCACACCTACTTTTTTTTGTATTTTTAGTAGAGACAGGGTTTTACCATGTTGGCCAGGATGGTCTCCATCTCCTGACTTCGTGATCCACCCGCCTCAGCCTCCCAAAGTGCTGGGATTACAGGCATGAGTCACCTCACCCAGCCTATAATTTGTCTTTTCTTACACACATGCCCAGCAAGCTTTATTGGCTTATATATGAAATACAAAAGAAATTATGTAGTTAACAACAGTTACTTTTAAGTAAGTGAATGTCCAGAGGAGAAAAGACATCCTTCACTCTATCCTTTTCTGTACTTTTAAATTTTGTATAATATGTATTATCTATCCAAAATACATATTTTTTAAAGTAATACAGCCATTAGAGGTTCATTTTATCAAATACTGTTTCTAATATTCAACATTTTCCATCAGTAAGATTTACCAAGATCAACAGTTTATTTTATATTTAAAGTAATACCAAAGATTAGCAGCTAATAATCTTTAAAAACAGTCAACAGTATTAGGCAATGAATGGCAGCCTAATTTATTATTTTCCTTGTTCCTTGCTTTTCCTGTTCTAATTTGCTTTTAAGCTGTTTTCCTGCTAATTGGAAACTCCATTTGACGGTGACCAGGAAACTGACATAAAAGGACATATATTTGTTAACTCTGATGTTTGTTAGCTCTGTTACAAGATCTGTTGAAGAACCTGGTTGAAATTACTATTTAAAATAAATTTGGAAATAATTCATAGAACTGATTTAATTCTACTATTTCAAGTTGCACTTTGCTTCTGACCAATGATGCATATTCATACCATCAAACCTGCTAAATATACATAAAGGCCATCCTATTAAATGGCTACATTTTCAGCTACAGGTTTTTATCTGTAGTAGAAATTGCACTGGAAATCCAAAATATACAAATATATATGAGGCTCTATGAGGATTTTATGCTCAACAAAAAAGATAAGTGATAAATAAAACCACCACTTTAAAAAAAAAAGTCTGCCCTGGAAAGTAAGATCCTAAAGAAAGAGACTACTACGACCACACTTCCGTAACAATCTTAAAACCCCTTAGTGTGCAAACTGGATTCCCACTATTTAGTCTACTGCCTTGACAATGATTCACTCTAATCTAGACAAAATTAAGCATTCCTTCCTTCTTCAACACTTCCATAGCACCATATATGTACCTCTATTATATATTTATCAGTTGCCATTGCCATTATTTGTTTACATGTCAGTCTTTTTCACTATACTAGCTCCTTGTGCAGAAATATCTTATTCATTCTTGTAATTTGGGGAGCTAGCCCAGCCGCTGCACGAAGGAGACATGCCAGAAAGTTGGCTTCAGCTAAGAACATTCACATTTTCCCTAAACCATTCAGCTTTTAAATTATCATGAACGAAAATTAACCCTTCATTACCCACAGTATTCCAATCCTGAAAAGAGAAGGAAGCAAATACATGTAGTCCCAAACCACAAATAATTTATTCCACAGATGGTTCATCTAGTCTAACGCTAAAGTCAGCTTGCATAAAGCATACACAAATAGAAAACAGCGCTAAGACAACAACAATGCTGCTTTTGGAGTTTTTTTTCTTTCTCCCCCCCAGAAAATAGATGTATCTGAACCACAGTCAGATATTCATGGATTTAGAATGTCAAATATTCATGGATTTAAAATGTCTGAATGTAGCTAGTCACTGTGTCAAAAAACAAATAAATTTAAAAACTGAATTGGGACAAAGACACAATATAGACCAAAAGGGCTAACAGAACATTTTGGTAAATCCCTGATACCTGCAGGCTGAGCTTCAGTGCCAAAGCAAACACCAACTGTAAGGTCCAAGTTGGAGCCATTAGTGACTGGAAAGGGAAAGGTGGCAAAGGCCTACTTCAGCCCTCCCTTCTTACAAACAACCAGCAAACCAAAAGAACTGCCTTTTCTTATATAGGTGATTAATTCTTAAGTACCTATAGTAGGTTAGGACAAAGATTCCATGGCTAACTGGCAGAGGTATATAAAAACATTTGTGTACTATAAGGACACATGTACACGAATGTTCATTGCAGCACTGTTTACAATAGCAAAGACCTGGAATCAACCCAAATGCCCATTGATAATAGACTGGATTGGAAAAATGTGGCACATATACACCATGGAATATTATGCAGCAATCAGAAATGATGAGTTTGTGTCGTTTGTAGGGACATGGATGAATCTGGAGAACATCATCCTCAGCAAACTGACACAAGAACAGAAAATGAAACACCGCATATTCTCACTCATAGGCGGGTGATGAAAAATGAGAACACATGGACACAGAAAGGGGAGTACTAAACACTGGGGTCTATCGGGGGGAAAAGGGGAGCACCAGTGGGAGGGGGAGGTGGGGAGGGATAGCCTGGGGAGAAATGCCAAATGTGGGTGAAGGGGAGAAGCAAAGCAAAGCACACTGCCATGTGCGTACCTACGCAACTGTCTTGCACGCTCTGCTCATGTACCCCAAAACCTAAAATCCAATAAAAAATTTTAAAAAATAAATAAATAAAAACATTTGTGTTACTCAAAAACCACGTAAATAATCAAAATTTCTAGCACACCAGCTAATTCGTGATAATGTATTTTGAGTTTTAGCACCTTTTTACTACCCTCTTCATTAATCCAGGCAATTTGATCAAATAGTAACCTGGCAAAATGCAAATAATAGAAAAGTAAAAATTAGGAAAATGGAAGATTGAAGATAGTTTAGACAGACCATAGTAGTAAAAGGAGAAAACTATCTAAAGCTTGTGTAATGGTATAAAGGAAACCTAAAAAGAAAATTTTTTTTATTTTTATAGAGACAGGGTCTCGCTCTGTCACCTAGGCTGGAATGCAATGGCATAATCACAGCTCATCGCAACCTCCAACTCCTGGGCTCAAGCAATCCTTCTGCTTTAGCTTCCCAAGTAGCTGGGACTACAGGTGTGTATCACCATGCCCAGCTAACCTTTTTCTTCAGTACAGACGGCACCTTGCTATGTTGCTCAGGCTGATCTGGAACTCCTGGCCTCACAATACTCCTGCCTCAGCCTCCCACATAGCTGGGATTACAGGAATAAGCTATCACACCTGGCAGGACATTATTTTTAAGCTTCCATTAGATGGAAGACAAGACAAGGCTTTTGGTAACCGTTCTTCCATAAACTAGCTGTGTAACCTTAGACAAGTCACTCTGAATCCCAGGCAGTTTTCTAATCTACAAAAATGACTGGAAAAAATAATCTCTAAGACCCTCTCCACCTTAAGTTACTCCATTAGTACAAAATTTAAAATTAAAGTTTCCTATGGTTTGGATGTTTGTCCCCTCCAAATCTCATGTTGAACTGTAATTCCCAATGTAGGAGATGGGCCTGGTGGGAGGTGTCTGTGTCATGGAGGCAGATCCCTCATGAATAGCTTGGTGCCCTCCACATGGTAAGGAATGAGTTCTCACTGTTAGTTCACACCAGAGCTGGTTATTGAAAAGGGCCTGGCACCTTCTCTCTCTCTTGCTTCTGCTATCCTCATATGACTTACCTGCTGCCTCTTTATCTTCTCACATAATTGAAAGAAACCTTCCTGGGCCCCACCAGAAGCTGAGCAGATGCTGGCCTCATATTTGCACAGCCTGCACACCTGAGAGCCAAATAAGCCTCTTTTCTTTATGAATTACCTCAAGATAGTCTTTATAGCAACGCCAACACGCAAACACAAAGACTTTATATACGATATGAGGTACAAGAAATTTTTTCAAGTCCCCCAGTTCATTATTTGATTCTTTCACAATCATTTTACAAACTATTCTATGCAAACGTCAATTCCTAATGTTCCAAATAATGACTTCACTATAAAATAATAATCATAATCAAGTTATTTTGAAGTTTTCACTAACCTGGTGCAACTACATTCACTCTAATTTTCTTTCTTGCTACCTCTTTAGCAAGAGCACGTGAAAATCCAACTAATCCTCCTTTACTGGCACCGTAAACAGACTGGCCAGAATTGCCTTTTAAGCCAACAATGCTTCCTAGGACAAAAAAAAAAAGCAAATTAAATTCAATTAATAAGGTTACTTGAAAATTCAGCTAATTTATAGTAAATGAACAAAAAGGTACAACACACTTCACCTTGTCCTTTGTTAAAATGAGAAATTCTAACCATTGTCATCAGTCATTTATCAAAGATTTAAGAGTCCAGGACTGCTCCAGATACATACAGAAAATAGCAGCTGAAAGCAGCTGATATAAAACTGCCAATGCCAGGCAGGTGCTTGCAAATTGATCCATTATGTGAAAGGGACCCTCTCTAACCTCTGAGTAGGTCATATATGATTAAAATTTTGTGGTATTTATAAAGGCTTCCAGCAGGTAGAGGTTAAAGCCAGAAAGAGTCAGACAAAAGCTGAGGCTGATTAATTTTATAATTCTACAACACAGACATAGGCAGAAAGTTCTTTCACCTTAAAAACTAGTTCATTTGAAGACAAATCTCACTAAAATTGAATTATGTGCATACCTCATTTTATTGTTTTGCTGTACTGTGCTTTGCAGATACTGCATTTAAAAAAAAATTTTTTTTTTTTTTTTTTGAGACGGAGTTTCGCTCTTGTTACCCAGGCTGGAGTGCAATGGCGCGATCTTGGCTCACTGCAACCTCCACTTCCTGAGTTCAAACAATTCTCCTGCCTCAGTCTCCTGAGTAGCTGGGACTACAGGCACGTGCCACCATGCCTGGCTAATTTTTTTTGTAGTTTTAGTAGAGATGGGATTTCACCATGTTGACCAGGATGGTGTCGATCTCTTGACCTCGTGATCCACCCGCCTCAGCCTCCCAAAGTGCTGGGATTACAGGCTTGAGCCACCGCGCCTGACCCTAAAAAATTTTTTTAAACAAATCAAAGGCTTGTAGCAACCCTGCATCAAGCAATTCTATTAGCACTTTTCCAACAGCATGGCTCACTGTGAACAGTGCTCACTATGTCTCTTTGTCTCATTTTGGTAATTTCCATACCATCTTAAACGTTTTCATTATTATATGTTATAATGATCCGTGGTCAGTAATTCTTGATGTTTACTGCTATATGGGTGCCACAAAGTATTACTGCTCATTGACAATGCATCTGGTCACCAAAGAGCTCTGATGGAGATGTACAAGGGTATTAATGTTGTTTTTGTGCCTGTTAATACAGTATCCTTTCTTCAGCTCATGAATCAAGGGGTAATTCTGACTGTCGAGTCTTACTTAAGAAACATTTTACAAGTCTATAGCAGTCATAAATAGTCATTCCTCTTATGAATCTGGGCAACGTAAACTGAAAACCTCCTGGAAAGGATTCACCATACTATCTGCCATTCAGAACATTTATGATTCATAGCAGGAGGTCAAAATATCAACATTAACAGAGTTTGAAAGAAGTTACTTCAGCCCTCATGGAGACTTTGCAGGGTTCAAGACATTAGTGGGGCAGAATTGCAAGTGGAGCCTGAAGACGTGACTGAATTGCTGCAATCTCATGATAAAACAAATGGGGAGGAGTTGCTTCTTCTGTGTGGATAAACAAAGTTGTTTCTCAAGGTGGAATCTACTCCTTGTGAAGATGTGAATACTGTTGAAATGACAAAGAATTTAGAATATCCTATAAACTTAGTTGATAAAGCAATAGCAGGGACAGAGAGGACTGGCTCTAATTTTTAAAGTTCTACTTGGATAAAATGGTATCAAACAGCATCACATGGTACAGAGAAATATTTCAGGAAATGAAAGTCAATCAATGTGGGAAATGTTGTCTTATCTTAAGAAATGGCCACGGCCACCCCAACTTTCAACAACCACAACCATTATCCGTCAGCAGCCACCAACATCAAGGCAAGACCTTCCATCAGTAAAAAGATTATGACTTGCTGAAAGCTCAGATGATCATTAGCATTTTTTAGCAATAAAGTATTTTTTGGCAACAAAGTATTTACATTGTTTCTTAGACAAAATGTTACTGCATACTTAATAGACCATATCTTTTACACGGACTGAGAAACTGAACAATTTGTGTGACTTACATTATTGAGATATTTGCTTTATTCTGGTAGAGTAGAACCAAAGCTGCAATAACTGTGAGATATGCTTGTACTGTCAATCTAAACTGCCAAAGCTTCAATTATAAACATTTTGTAAAAGTGCAATTTCATTATATTCCGCATAAGGAGAACTGATAGGGTTTTTAAATACACCTTAAAAAAGAATATTTTAGAGTTAAATAAATATACCTCAGGTTATCAGGTACAATTGTAAACTGCACTGACCACAGAAGATTCTTGAGTGACCACATCTAATGAATATGTAGAGATATAGATGAACCTGGAAACCATCATTCTCAGAAAACTGACATAAGAACAGAAAATCAAACACTGCATGTTTTCACTCATAGGTGGGTGTTGAACAATGACAACGCGTGGACACAGGTAGGGGAGAATAACACACTGAGGTCCATTGCTGGAGGTAGGGGAGGGATAGTGGGAGAGCGGGTGGGGAGGGATAACGCAGGGAGAAACGTCAAGTATAGGTGATGGGGGGATGGAGGCAGCAAACCACCTTGCCATGAAGGTACCTATGCAACAATCTTGCCTGATCTACACATGTACCCCAGAATCTAAAGTACCATAAAAAATAGTAATAATAATTTTTAATTCAAATATCAACTATATGCAAATAAATTCTTGCAAAACAGAAGTGAGGAAGTAATTTTCTGCACCACTGACCTGTACTTAGATACAAAAATTAATCAAAGACCTCACAAAATATTTTAAAGTAGTTTTATTTTACAAAAGGAAACATTCCAAACATTTCTCTATTATAATCAACAAGTTCAGTATTAAAAGATTTATCTACATTACATATTGTCTGCCAACTAGTAAAGGAAAAGAACTGTGAAGTACACAGAGAGAAAAGACCTCAGACTGAGAAAATGCATATGGACAGAAAAAGTGGTGCTTATCAGAAAGAAAAATACAGAGACTTACGAAAAATACATGCACACACACAAAAAAAAAAACACGAAATGGAGCTGGTGTGATGGTAGTGGGTTATCAGAACTTACTAACAATGGTGTCACTAAAGTTGGTATATAACCCTCCAGCGTTAAATATGACTGGCTTTTAAAAGAAAAAAAAGAGAATCGAAAGATGACAAAGAAAATATCCAAGACGACCCTTTAGGAGGAGCTCAGGATTGCAGCTCCCAGTGAAAGCACAGAGGGTGATCCCCAGGCAAGCAGGGCCTGGAGTGGACCTCAGCAGTCCTACAGCAGAGGGGCCAGACTGTTAGAAGGAAAACTAAGAAGCAGAAATAACTTCATCATCAACAATCTGGACATCCACTCAGAGACCCAATCTGAAAATCAGCAACTACACAGATGACAGGTGGATAAATCTACAAAGATGGAAAGAAACCAGCGCAAAAAGGAGGAAAACACCCGAAACCAGAACACCTCTCCTCCCACAAGGGATCACAACTCCTCACCAGCAAGGGAACAAAGCTGGATGGAGACTGAGTGTGATGAAATGACAGAATCAGACTTCTGAAGGTGGGAAATGACAAACTTCTGTGAGCTAAAAGAACATGTTCTAAATCAATGCAAAGAAATTAAGAACCTTGAAAAAAGATTTAATGAAATGATAACAAGAACGCACAACTTAGAGAGGAATATGAGTGAACTGATGGAGCTGAAAAACACATGAGAACTTCACGAAGCATGCAAAAGCATCAAAAGCCGAATTGACCAAGCAGAAGAAAGGACATCAGAGGTTGAAGATCAACTCAAGGAAATAAACCAAGAAGGCAAGATTAGAGAAAAAAGTGCGAAAAAGAATGAACAGTCTCCAAAAAATGTGGGACTATGTGAAGAGACCTAATCTACGTTTGATAGGGGTACCTGAATGTGACAAATAGAATGAATCCAAGCTGGAAAATACTCTTCAGGATATTATCCAGGAAAACTACCCCAAACTGGCAAGGCAGGCCAATATTCAAGTCCACGAAATATGGAGAACACCACAGAGATATTCCTCAAGAAGAGCAACCCCAAGGCACGTAATCGTCAGATTCACCAGGGTTCAAATGAAGGAGAAAATGCTAAGGGCAGCCAGAGAGAAAGGTCGGGTCACCCACAAAGGGAAGCCCATCAGACTCACAGCAGATCTCTCAGCAGAAACCCTATAAGCCAGAAGAGAGTGGGGGACAATATTCAACATCCTGAAAGAAAAGAACTTTCAACCCAAAATTTCATATACAGTCAAACTAAGCTTCATAAGTGAAGGAAAAATAAAATCCTTTGCAAACAAGCAAGTACTCAAGAGATTCTATTACCACCAGCCCTGCTTTACAAGAGCTCCTGAAAGAGGCACTACACATAGAAAGGAACAACCAGTACCAACCACTCCAAAAACATACCAAATGGTAAAGAGCATCAACAAAATGAAGAATCTGCATCAACTAATAGGCAAAACAGAAAGCTAGCATCAAAATGGCAGTATCAAATTCACACATAACAATATTAACCCTAAATGTAAATGGCTAAATGCACCAATGAATAGACACAGACTGGCAAATTGGATAAAAAGCCAAAACCCATCAGTGTGCTGTATCCAGGAAACACATCTCACATGCAAGGATACACAAAGGCTCAAAATAAAAGGATGGAGGAAGATTTACCAAGCAAATGGAGAGGAAAAAAAAGCAGGAGTTGCAATTCTCGTCTCTGATAAAATAGACTTTAAAGCAACAAAGATCAAAAGAGACAAAGAAGGATATTACATAATGGTAAAAGGATCAATACAACAAGAAGAGCTAATGATCCTAAATATATACACACCCAATACAGGAGCAGCCAGATACATAAGGCAAGTTCTTAATGACTTACAAAGAGATTTATACTCCCACACAATAATAGTGGGAGACTTTAACACACCACTGTCAATATTAGACAGATCAACCAGAAGGAAAATTAACAAGGATATCCAGGACTTGAACTCAGACCTGGAACAAGCATACCTGATAGACATTTACAGAACTCTCTACCCCAAATCCACAGAATATACATTCGTCCCAGCACCACATCACACCTACTCTAAAACTGACCACATAATTGGAAGTAAATCACTCCTCAGCAATTGCAAAAGAATGGAGATCCTAACAAACAGTCTCTCCGACCACAGTGCAATCAAGTTAGAACTCAGAATTCAGAAACTAACTCAGAACCGCACAGCTTCTGGAAAACTGAACAACTGGCTCTTGAATGTTGACTGGATAAACAATGAAATGAAGGCATAAATAAAAAAGTTCTTCAAAATCAACGAGAATGAAGATACAACATACCAGAATATCTGGGACACATTTAAAGCAGTCTCTAGAGAAAAATATATAGCAATAAGTGCCCACATGAGAAGAGTGGAGAGATCCAAAATTGACACCCTATCGTCAAAATTGAAAGAGCTAGAGGAGCAAGATCAAAAAAACTCAAAACCTAGCAGAAGGCAAGAAATAACTAAGATCAGAGCTGAACTGAAGGAGACAGACACAAAAAAACCTTCAAAAAATCAATAAATCCAGGAGCTGGTTTTTCAAAAAGATCAACAGAAGAGACCATTAGCCAGAACAATAAGAAAAGAGAGAATAACCAAATAGATGCAATAAAAAACGATAAAGGGGAAATCACCGGAGATTCCACAGAAATTCAAATCATCACCAGAGAATATTACAAACAATTCTATGCACATAAACTAGTAAACCTGGAAGAAATGGAGAAATTCCTGGACACTTGCATCCTCCCAAGCATAAACCAGGAAGAAGTCAAAACCATGAATAGACCAGTAACAACATCTGAAGTTGAGGCAGTAATTAAAAGTCTACCACACAAAAAAAGCCCAGGTCCAGATGAGTTCACAGCTGAATTCTACCGGACACACAAAGAGAAACTGTTACCATTCCTTCTGAAACTATTCCAAATAATTCAAATAGAGGGACTCCTTCCCAAATCATTTTATGAGACCAACATCATCCTGATACCAAAACCCGGCAGAGACTCAACAACAAAAGAAAACTTCAGGCCAATTTCCATGATGAATATAGATGCAAAAATCTTCAATAAAATACTGGCAAGCTGATTGCAACAGCACATCAAAAAGCTTATCCACCACGATCAAGTAGGATTCATCCCGAGGATGCAAGGCTGGTTCAACATACACAAGTCTATAAACGTAATTCACCACATAAACAGAAACAAAAACTAAAACCACATGATTATCTCAATTGATGCAGAGAAGGCCTTTGACAAAATTCAACAGCCCTTTATGCTAGAAACCCTCAATAAACTCAGAATTGATGGAATGTATCGCAAAATAATAAAAGCTATTTATGACAAACCAACAGCCAATATCATACTGAATGGGCAAAAATTGGAAGCATTCCCTTTGAAATCTGGCATTAGCCAAGGACGCCCTCTCTCACGACTCCTATTCAATATAGCACTGAAAGTTCTAGCCAGAGCAATCAGGCAAGAAAAAGAAATAAAGGGTATTCAAATAGGAAAGGAGGAATCCAAATTGTCTCTATTTGCAGACAACATGATAGTATATCTAGAAGACCCCATCGTCTCAGCCCAAAATCTCCTGAAACTGATAAGCAACTTCAGCAAAGTCTCAGGATACAAAATCAATGTGCAAAAATCACAAGCATTCCTATACACCAATAACAGACTTAAAGAGAGCCAAATCAAGACCGAACTGCCATTCACAATTGCTACAAAGAGAATAAAATACCTAGGAATACAACTAACATGGAACGTAAAGGACCTCTTCAAGAACTACAAACCACTGCTCAATGAAATAAGAGAGGACACAAAGAGATGGAGGAACATTCCATGTTCATGGTTAGGAAGAATTAATATCGTGAAAATGGCCATACTGCCCAAAGTAATTTACAGATTCAACGCTATCCCCATCAAGCTACCAATGACCTTCTTCACAGAACTGGAAAAAACCACCTTAAACTTCATATGGAACCAAAAGAAAGCGTGCACAGCCAAGTCAATTCTAAGTAAAAAGAACACAGCAGGAGGCATCACACTACCGGACTTCAAACTATACAGTAATCAAAACAGCATGGTACTGGTACCAAAACAGAAATATAGACCAATGGAACAGAACAGAGGCATTGGAGGCAACACAACATATCTACAACCATACAATCTTTGATAAACCTGACAAAAACAAGTAATGGGGAAAGGATTCCCTCTTTAATAAATGGTGTTGGCAAAACTGGCTAGCTATGTGCAGAAAGCAGAAACTGGATCCCTTCTGACACCTTACACTAAAATTAACTCCAGATGGATTAAAGACTTAAACATAAGACCTAACACCATAAAAAACCTAGAAGAAAATCTAGGCAAAACCATTCAGGACATAGGAGTAGGCAAGGACTTCATGACCAAAACACCAAAAGCATTGGCAACAAAAGCCAAAATAGACAAATGGGACCTAATCAAACTCCACAGCTTCTGCACGGCAAAAGAAACAGTCACTAGAGTGGATCGGCAACCAACAGAATGGGAAAAAATTTTTGCAGTTTACCCATCTGACAAAGGGCTGATATCCAGAATTTATAAAGAACTAAAACAGATTTACAAGAAAAAAACAAACAAGCCCATTCAAAAGTGGGCAAAGGATATGAACAGACACTTTACAAAAGAAGACATATATGAGGCCAACAAACATATGAAAAAATGCTCATCATCACTGGTCATCAGAAAAATGCAAATCAAATCTACATTGATATACCATCTCATGCCAATTAGAATGGCAATCATTCAAAAATCTGGAGACAACAGATGCTGGAGAGGATGTGGAGAAATAGGAACATTTTTACACTGCTGGTGGGAGTGTAAATTAGTTCAACCATTGTGGAAGACAGTGTGGCGATTCCTCAAGGACCTAGAAATAGAAATTCCATTTGACCCAGCAATCCCATTACTGGGTATATATCCAAAGGATTATAAATCGTTCTACTATAAGGACACATGCACACAAATGTTCACTGTAGCACTGTTTACAATAGCAAAGACCTGGAACCAACCCAAATGCCATCGATGATAGACTGGACAGGGAAAATGTGGCACATATACACCATGGAATATTATGCAGCCATCAAAAACTATGAGTTCGTGTTCTTTGTAGGGACATGGATGAACCTGGAAAACAAAATTCTCAGCAAACTGACACAAGAACAGAAAACCAAACACTGCATGTTCTCACTCATAGGCGGATGTCGAACAATGAGAACACATGGACATAGGGAGGGGAGCACTACACACTGGGGTCTGTTGGCGGGAATAGGGGATGGACAGCGGGGGGTGGGGAGTTGGGGAGAGATAGCAGGGGGAGAAATGCCAGATATAGGTGAAGGGGAGGAAGGCAGCAAATCACACTGCCACGTGTGTACCTATGCAACTATCTTGCATGTTCTTCACATGTACCCCAAAACCTAAAATGCAATTTAAAAAAGAAAAAGAAACACAAACAGAAACAGAAACTTCAGCAGCTTTAACTCGTGCCAAACACTACTGTTCATCTGGTCAAAAAGTGGTAATTCCTGAGATATCATTGAAGCGTCTAGCAGTTTAAAGTAGTTCTTTCTTTAGCAATATTCTCAATTTACTTTTGATTATTTACTTTTAGCTCAATTCTAAAAGTTTTGCATGCATAAGGATAACTGATGGGTTTTTTAAATATATCTTAAAAAAGATTATTTTAGAGTTAAATAAATATACCTCAGATTATCAGGTGACAGGTAGAGGTCTGTTTGCCTGCTTAGAAGAATCCGAAGTCCTTATCTGGCTGTGTTAAAATGCAAAGGTTGACTCACTGACTAATCTCTTTTATAAGAAAACAGATCCCTTAAATTTTTAAGGATAAATGTCCAAAATGCTCTTTTGTCCCCTTAGTTTGTTAGCATAGTATTCTTTCCTTTCTCATTTTCAAAACAGAAAAAGCCTAAATTCCGGCTTGGAAAACAATTTCCTACGTTTAAAAGAACAGGGTCATTTACTTTCATGGAGCAGCATCCTCCTTTCGTGGCGTTTTAATGTATTACCATTTGAAAATAAAAAGCAGACAATATACTACTATGCCCAAATTACCAAACTGAAATAACATTTCAAGCCATTTTGCATTTTAAGTTCTACAGGCATATACTCCACAGTTTATCTGCCCTGTAGGTTAGATGAAGTGAAAACTAGGAGTTACTTACACTCATTCTTAAAAACAGAGAAATTTTATCTTTCTTTAAACCTCCACACAAGATTTAACATAACCCATGCAACTGCTGTACATGATATTACTTAGTCCCCACTGTCTACTTTAATTCCTTGTCCATGTTTTAAAAATTAGGTTTCTGGCTGGGAATGTGGCTCCCACCTATAATCACAGACTTTGGGAGGATCACTTGAGTCCAGGAGCTAAAGACCAGCCTGGGCCACATAGTGAGACCTCATCTCTATTTAAAAAAAAAAAAAAAGTTTCACATAAAAATCAGGATGGTCCAATTTCTCTTGAAAAATCAAAATTGCTGGCAAAACTGGGACCACGTTATAGAATCTAAGTGGTGGCCTCCACCATTCCATATGGGCTCTGGACAATGAAGCTGGATATCATTTATCACATGGCTGCTCCTGTCATTGTTCTAGTACTTGGTGGTAGCACTCATTTAACACCTGCCTGACTCCTATAGGGATGTAAATGTATGATTCCTATTTTACTAATTAATCAGTTAATTAAATCATTTTTTCCATTGATAATAGAAATTTCACCCAAGTTTCACAAGTGAATAAACTACAAGTTAGTGGATTAAATATCTGTATGGTATTATGAGATAATTATAAACTCACAAAGGTGAAGACTCACCTACATTAACTATAGACCCTCCCTGTTGTCGAATCATAGTCCTCACAGCAGCTTTACAGGTCAGCATGGAACCCAAGAGGTTGGTATGAAGCTGAGATACCATATCTTCAGTTTTTGTTCTTACTAAAAGACTATCCCTACAAAAAGAAACAATATATAACAGCATATAATAACAAGATAAAACAAACCAAAAAGGTCAAAACTAAGATAACATTTCTACTGAAAGTAGGGTGCAAGAAGCACTTCCTATCTGAGCTAGAATAACTAGAATACCTAGAGTCCCATTTTGAACTTGGTTTGAGATACATTAAATAACAATTGATAAACCAGAAAGGATGCACTTGGAAGACAGGTTCCTACCCTTCTCAGCTTGAGTAGCAAATATTCTTAGCCCCCAAAAGTATTACCATGTAGCCAAAATAGTTTGAATGACCTGAGCAACTGCCACACTAAGCCTTGTTTAGCAAGAAAATATGTTATGCTAAATATTATCTCCTAAATTTTTTTTAAAGTAATATCCACTCCATTACTCTATTAGTATTAAGTTCACAAACTGGCAAAACTTACACATGGTGACAAAATTCAGAAAATAGTTACCTACAAGGAAGTATTACTAATTGAGAAGGCACTGCCTTCTGCAGCACTGGAAACATTCTACAGCTCAATATGGGTGATGATTACAATGTTAAAACCAATTAAACTGGACATTTATTATATGCGGTATCTCAATATAAAAGAAAAGAATTTATGCCGGGTATAGTGGCTCACGCCTGGAAGGCAAGGTGGAAGGAAGACCTGAGGTCGGGAGTTCAAGACCAGCCTGATCAACATGGAGAAATCCCACCTCTACTAATAAAAATACAAAATTAGCCAGACGTGGTGGCCCATGCCTATAGTCCCAGCTACTCATGAGGCTGAGGCAGGAAAATCACTTGAATCCAGTAGGCAGAGGATGCGGTGACCCGAGAAGGCACCACTGCACTGCAGCCTGGGCAACAATTGCGAAATTCAATTACAAAAACAAACAAAAAATAAATTTGCCGGGTGCAGTGGCTCATGCCTGTAATCCTAGCACTTTGGGAGACTGAGGCAGGCAGATCACAAGGTCAGGAAAGAGAGACCATCCTGGCCAACATGGTGAAACCCTGTCTCTACTAAAACACAAAAAATTAGCTGGGCGTGGTGACATGCACCTGTAGTCCCAGCACTCAGGAGGCTGAGGCAGGGGAATTGCTTGAACTTGGGAGGTAGAGGTTGCAGTGAGCCGAGATCCACCACTGCACTCCAGCCTAGGGACAGAGCAAGACTCCGTCTCAAAAAAAAAAAAAGTTGTGGACTGACAAGTTTTAAAATGCACAGTTTTTTCTCCCAGTTAGAAGTATAATAATATATTAATTTATACTAATCAAAGACATATTAAAAATAAAAGTTTTTAAAATATAAATTTACTTAAATCTGTGACCAACCTGTTAATACCAGCCGCATTTACCAAGAAATTTACTCGACCTAAGTGTTTCTCCATCTCTTCAAATGTATTTTGAACATCATGTTCTTTAGCAACATCACAGCTAAATGCCAAATGATCTCCTACACAAAAAGTTAAATAACAATTACTTATAAATTATAACTCAAATTTTAAATTTACTCAATACACATGTGTTAAGCATCTAAGATGGTAGGCCCGTGCTAATCTAGAACTTAGAAATTTAAGTCATGTCATGAGGCCCGGCTTTCACAGAGTTGGCCTAATGAAACTGGGATGTGGGGGAGCAAGAGGAAATAAAGTACTACTACAGAAAGTTAATTTTAATTAACTTTTTTTTTAATCAACAAAAAGGGGAGGGCTTTTTCAAGTTACAAAGGCTCTGTAAGATTCATCTAATAATATTTCCAGCTTTAACACTGAACTCATGCTCCCCAATTCAACAGTCTTCTGGGTTTTATATTCCTTTTTTCAAATTTATACCTAATTCTGTCAGGTGTTCATTGAAATAGTTTCTCTGGCCCTGAACAGGAACTCTAGAGTTTCTTCTTCTTTTTAAAAGCTAAGGCTACACTACGCCACATATAGTATAATGACTATTTTTCAAACCTCACCATCAGGAGACATGAGATAACACGGGAAGCTGTAAAAACACTAAAACTACAAACCATGGTGGGGGGGGACACTTTTTACAAAAACAACTGTTACCACTTTTAAATAATGGTTAAATGCCAAAAAACTACACTTCAAAGGAAAATAAAGCATTCCCTATGTCATAATCTACCATTTTAATACCCTAAAATGTAGAATTGTGTCTAAGAGCTAAAAAAAATTTGCTTTTCTGTTTGACCTTGACAAACATGTCATTACATTACCTACACTACATTACCCTACCAAGCCTTTGGAAACAGTAAGTAACCTGGGAAATTATACTTTCTAGATGAAAACCAAGCACTCATGGAACACGATTCAAAGGAATGCAGGGCCCAAAAGCATCCTCTGTCTCTCTCGTGGTTTTCTCCTGAAGACTGGCTGTTTTCACAACCACCTTTGAAAGCTCAACTAATGGCTTCAATCTAGTCCAGTAAACACTGATGGCCTGGGGTGACTCACTGAGTCACCATTTTTACCCTTTGTTGAATGGCAAGGAACATGAGCTTCAAGAAGTATTCACTGACACTCTCCCTGAGCTGTAACTTACAGGATTTTTTTTCTTTTAGAGATCCCAATATTCTCCCAACCAACAGTGAATAGATGGTGATACCAAACCAAACAGTAAGGTTAACTTAAAAACGAACAGCCACACCTAGCACCTACAGTCCCCCAGCTCCTTGGGAGGCTGAGGCGAGATCTATAGAGCCCAGTAAATCAGGAGTTGGAGTCCAGCCCGGGAAACATAATGAGAAGCCCTCTCAAAAATTAAATTAAAAACCCACACACGAAAAGGTAAGAGCCACAAGATGATGCACCCGCAGGCCTCTATTCTCCCCATGCCTCCCTGAGAGTAAATTAAGTTTTGTCCATTTTAGTAATTAAACAAATAGCATCTTCGGATCTTTCTAATGTCCTATTTCTCCCTAACATCAAGGAAGAATTAAATTCACAAAATGACTAAACCATTATTAAGCCAGAAAAAAGAAAAAAAAACCCTGAAGTTTAAATCCAATAAAAAAGAATTTTGCAGAACAAAGTTCAACTGTCCATTTGCAAAACTAACCAAATTTGCTATCATTAAGTAAACAAGGTTTATGTCAACTCTGGCTGGAACTCAGAAGGGTTTCTCTCTGAAACTGCTTTGTGCATTCGAACAGGCCCAGGCATGACCCTCGGCAATACTGAGGAAGCCGTTTACACCTGGCACTCCCCTCACCTGCCTGAACCCTTTTCCGCCCAGCCCTGCCTCCGGCGACAAGAATGTGCCCTTTCCCTAAATTCAAAGTTAACTGTCCTGTGGCTCTCTCCCGCCAGACACCAAAACAGGGCAGCTCCTCACGGTGAGCACAAGCCGCAGGGCGGGGGATGCTTATTCGCGGGGCCTCACGAGACTACGAGGTCTCAAAGAAAACCCCGAGGGCCCAGCTCTCCGCGCGGGCTGCGTGGCCGACGTTCTGGAAGCCGCGGGAGGTCGGGGTTTCTGCACGAGGCGCGTTCCAGCCTTGGAACGGAGAGCACCTGCACGCGGCTTATGGAGAAACCTCAGAGCCCGAAAGCCCAGGCCCGCTCGCTTTACAAAGCAGATTTTCTCTGGGCTCCTGGACCACGGCCATACAACTGGACAACTCCAGTTCGGTACCTACCGCCGAGGTCACCGGCGGCGGCTTTGGCCCCTTCCAGGTTTCTGGCAATGACCGCCAGTCGGTAGCCTTTCCGGGCCATTAACTGGGCCACGGCCCTGCCAATGCCTCGGGAGCCTCCGAAAACAGCACATACTTTGTCCATCTCGGACTTAAACACTCGAAGGAGAGAGCTCCTTTCCAGGTTCCCACAGGCTTTTAAACAACCGCGGTTCCCAAAGAAAGAAAAAACAAAAAGCAAACCGCTAAGAAAAAACAGGCCGCTCGACACCTCCTCCTATGGCCAGACTCTAGCAGTGCAGGAGGCCACGGAGATAGGCGAGGAGTCACGGCAACGCCGCGTCGACGTCATTACGCATTCACTCTTTCGCGCCGCGCCTAAAGAGCACCGCCGCGAGAGCTCCCCGCCAGCGGAAGAATGGCCTGCAGGGGACCTCGATGCATGCTGGGACCTGTAGTCTTGACGCAGGAAAGCAACTGGCGCAGGCGCGCTGCTTGATGGGAAACGTACTTGTGGCATAGAGGGAGATCATCTGGACCCGCTATGTCCTCTCAGTCGGGATTGGAGACCCGGTGACCAATGGACCCGGTTTGTTCGGAACTAACAGGGTTCTCAAGATGCTGGGCTTTCCCTGGGAAACCAAGACGACTTGATTACGTAGTTAGAACCCAGAACAAGCACTACTGGGCGTGAGCCTGTCCGGGCTCCGGTGTGTTCCCTTCGCCTAGATGTTGTTTTGGCTACAGACTTGATGTCTTGTTGAAGAAGTCCCCAACTATCGCACCCACACCAGAACCTACCTTACCTGTTCCTCCCCCAGGATGCTGCAGAAATGGACCTCTACCCGCCCAGATGTTAGCATTCACCGCGAAGTGTGGCGTGAAGGTGAATGCCCCGTGGAACATCCAGCAGGTCAAGGAATTCTAATTGATTGAATAGTCTTTCAAGATCTACGAAACAAGCTTAGGCTGCTGTAGACAAAAACGGGTTTCTGCAATTGTAAATAAGATGTGCCAGGTGCTCTGAGAGTTAATAAACTAAAAAAAAATTGTAACATGTTTGTTAACAATTACAGTGTAAAAAGAAAGTATTTCTTGGTACATTATTTTACTAGATGATTCAGAGAAGTATGAACCATGGTCCCTACCACTAAAAAAACTACAACCCAGAACTACAGGACTAATACACATGAAACACTAGGAGGAATCCAAAATCATACTTAGTAAAGTGCAAAATTATATTAACACAAGAGCTCCGAGAAAATGGAGACCAGTGAAGAATGAGAGAGGCATAGAAAAGTTGGATGTGAGGGCTGAATGAGGTTTGAAAAAAGGAAAGTAAGAGCAAAAAGTCTATAAATAAGCAAGATGGGCAATATTTTAAATTTTTTATTCTTACTTCATTTAGATCCAAAGAGAATTTGAAATGGTTTGCAAAAACTCATGCATATTTGATTTTAAAAGGCAAAGGGGACTATTGCCCCTTCTCCCGAAAGGCCAGAACACTAAATTAGGTCAGTGGAAAAAGTACGAATAAAGTCATGCTATAAGAATTTACTTAGTATTAAAGAAGAGATGCATAAACTCAGAGTTTCCTGCCAGCCAAAGCAACAAAGGAAATATAATTACAAGAAGTAATTTCTGTAAGAAATAAGCATCCTAGTTATGCAGCAGAGAAGCCTGAGCAAAACCCCTCCTCAGAGGTCCTCCTAAATGGCACACAAAGCAGTGTAGTAGACAGTGTGCTTGATGAAAAGAAACAAAGATTGTAAGGCTGTTTTTATAGCATCTGTTAGACTTTATTAAAAGCAAATACAATAGGAAGTTAAACATTAGCAAACAGTCAAACATAAGAAATGTGTCTTTGTATGTTTGAAACAATGAGGAAACAAGCCTGATTACAGGAAATTTGGGATGGTGCTATATTGTAGTCAGCTTTAAAGCCAGGTGCCAAGCATTAAAAAGGCCTTTAACTGCAGAAGTAACAAGATTAGAGCTGCATTTAAGAACTATTAGTGGTGGCTCCTGCCTGTAATCCCAGCACTTTGGGAGGCCGAGACAGGAGGGTTGCTTCAGTCCAGAAGTTCAAAACCAACCTAAGAAATGTGGCAAGATTCCCCTGATCTCTACAAAAAATACAAAAAAACGTTAGCTGGGCATGGTGACCTACTTGTGATCCCAGCTACTCAGGAGGCTGGGTTGGAAAGATGGTCAAGTTGGAAGCAAGGCCAGGAGTTCGAGGCTGTGGTGAGCGATGATTGCACCACTGCACTCCAGCCTGGGTGACAGGGCAGGACCCTGTCTCAAAATTTTTCAATTTTTTTCTAAAAAAAAACACATTAGTTCCCCAGTGATATAAAAATGGGTCTGATCAAATTTGTCTATTCACTTTCCTCCTATACACTATGTAATCTTGGAAAGAAAAACTGTTTTAGACAAATTACCAATATATGGGTCAGCCTAAATGCCAATTGTATTTCTGTACCTTAGGTCAAACCAGAGAGGTTCATCTTTGTGAACAGTTCCCTCCATTTTATAGGAAAAGGGTTATTTTTTTTCTACACATTTTTATTCTAGCCAAAAACATGGTTTTTAGATCCATGCCAAAGATCATTCACACACAATGCGAGGTGGCATTAAGAATTCTGAAAACCTTTTCTCACTGTATCTCTACAGTAAATGGACAAGTTGGGCTTTTTCTTCAATACATACCTCAGGTTAAATCCCAAGGTTATGATTGATTTTTTCCCCTCTTAATACAATATCACCACTGTCCTGGGTGAGAATACACCTGTCACAGCACATCACCCATTAGCTGAGAAGGTTACAGCGGGGAAAGTTTCTCCCGAACGCCCTGACAGTGAAGTGAGGACCTGTAAATTAAAGTGGGCCTCCCCTACCCAGCAGGACATTGAAGAAAGCCTTTACAGTGACCCGCCTTCAGTCTTTCCTTCTCCCTAAACATGCCACTTTCGTGGTAATATCTTAACCATATTTTATACTTTAACTCACGCCCACATAGGATATATTTTCTCTTGGCTCCAATAATCAAAGGAGAAAATTCCTTATGGATAAGGACTGTTATACAAATGTTTAAATATGCCTACTTTTATTATTTTTCTGATTTCAAAAGGAATACCACTTAATTGCTAAACGTTAGAAACCATAAACTTTTTAAATAACTCACTAAAAGCATTGTACACTTTAAGCGAGTGAATTGTATGGTATGCAAATTATATCCCAATGGAACTGTTTTTGAAAAAATTTAATTGAAAGCCTATTGCCCTGTTATATGAAATTAGAATATGCCACTAATTAGAGGGGGTTGTACCTTTCTTGAATTTTTTTTATACATCAAGATTTATAATGCCCATGATTCCAAATACGCAGGAAATTTTATAAGAAATTTATAAATGATGATTGAATATTTATTGGGAATTTTCTTTACACAATGCACCATGCTAAGTGCATCCAGCTTATCAGATCTGTAATTGAGGTGTAACCCTTCCTCCCAGCAAGCAGTCTTCCAGGATTCTCCAGCCAGTGATGGTAATCTGCATTACCCGGACTGCACATGGCCAGAGTAGCTTCTCCATACAGAACATGCTCTTCTTTCAAGAAGAAAGATTAGAAAGCTGCCTCAGTGTGGCTGCCTAGATATAACTTTTGTGATTAAAAAGCACGTTGATTTCCTCACTGGCATTCTTGTATCCAATCTGGTGGGTAATCTAAATTGTAAGAAATATACTTTTTATCACTTACAAAAGCTTATTTCATTTTGAGCAAAAAAAAAAAAAAAAATGTGGCCCATGAGGTTGTTATTTTGTAGAGTGGACGTTTATGCCTCTGGGGCTGCCCACTAAGACCTCAACCTAGCTAGCACTCGGTTGCCTCAGGCAGAAGCAAGGAGTTTATTCCTTCCCTCTTTCACACATCCCCATCCAATTGGTCACCAAGTCCTGCTTACTCTCCTCCCTAAATACCATTCTTACCTCTCACTGTCCTTAAACTCCATTGTCACACCATTGTTCAGACCCTGGGGCCCAAAAGACTAGTAGAGAACAGCTGGTTCACCACCCTCCAGTTCGACCCCAACACCACCAGGGGGCTTCTTTTAAAATACAAATCTGGCCGGGCGCAGTGGCTCACGCCTGTCTCTATTAAAAATACAAAAATTAGCCAGGTGTGGTGGGAGGTGCCTGTAATCCCAGCTACTTGGGAGGCTGAGGCAGGAGAATTGCTTTAACCTGGGAGGCGGAGGTTGCAGTGAGCCAAGATCGTGCCATTATACTCCAGCCTGGGTGACAGAGCAAGACTCCATCTCAAAATTAATTACTTAAATAAAATAAAAATTGGATATCAGTCCCTGAATAAAACACTGAAATAGCTCTCCATCAACCACAGGATAAAGTAAACGCCTCCCTGATCTAGTTACCTCTCCAAGGTCCCCTCCTACAAACTCTTCCACTTCCACTCCTCACTCACCAAACTTCTTCCCAGCCACACATACTCAGGTGTACTAGGTACTTTCAGTTCCCTGCAGTGACATGTTCTTTCACACATCCATGCTTTTCCAACCGCTGTCTTCTCAACCTCGAATGCTCCCACTACCTTCCCTGGTAACATCAAATTTATCATTCAAAATGTGGCTCGGGCAGGGTAAGATGGTTCACGCCTGTAATCCCAGCACTTTGGGAGGCCGAGGTGGGCAGATCACCTGAGGTCGGGAGATGGAGACAAGCCTGACCAACATGGTGAAATCCTGTCTCTACTAAAAATCCAAAATTAGCTGAGAGTGGTGGCATGTGCCTATAATTTTAGCTAATTGGGAGGCTGAGGCAGGAGAATCAATTGAACCCAGGAGGCAGAAGTTGCAGTGAGCCAAGGTCGCTCCATTGCACTGCAGCCTGGCAACAGAGCGAGACCCTGTATTAAAAAAAAAAAAAAAGGTGGGGGGCGGGCACGATGGCTCGCGCCTGTAATCCCAGCACTTTGGGAGGCCCAGGTGGGCGGATTACGAGGTCAGGAGATGAAGACCAGCCTGGCAAACATGGTGAAACCCACTCTCTACAAAATATTAGCCAGATGTGGTGGCGCACGCCTGTACTCCCAGCTACTCGGGAGGCTGAGGCAAAAGAATTGCTTGAACCCAAGAGTCTCAGGGCAACAAAGCGAGACTCTGTCTCTCTCTCTCTCTCTCTCTCTCTCTCTCTCTCTCTCTCTCTATATATATATATATATATATATATATATATATATATATATCTGGCTCAAACATCTTTTGCAATGGAAGCCTCTCCTTATTCAAAGGAGGACATGCTGATGTCCTTCTTTACCCATCCTCTTACTTTTGTCTTCA